TGAGTCTCTGACTCAAAAGAAAAGAAATACTCCACAAACAGTGGCCAGACCAGGCACACACCTTATAGCTAATTGATGTCCCAAAGAGGTTGTAAAATGGGTCTCACTGGTAAAAATTAAACTATACAAGTAAGGAAACTCGAACATGCTACGAAGACTCTCTCTTTGACTTACCTCTGGTCAGACTCCACTAAGCCCTTCATGTTTAGACTTCGGTGTCTGTTCTTGTAGAGTCATTTTATCAAGTATATTGCCTGGTCAGCTTAGTGAGAATCTCCCACCCTTAATATCTGATCACCCTGCCTGCCTTCAGCAAGAATCCTGTAAACCAGTCAAGTTGATTTAGCCAGCATCCTCTTTCTCCAGATGGAAACTCAGTAAATTTTCATCCAGGGATTCCCCCCACCCATATCTTTAGCTATAAGTCCCCATTTGTCCTTGTATTTGAGTTGATCTTTCTCTGCTACTGCAAAACCCCATTGCAGTGGTCCCTTCCCTATATACAATATATATATTGTAGAGATGAGGTCTTGCCAATTTGCCCAGGCTGGTCTCAAACCTGTGAGCTCAGACAATCCTCTCACCTCGGCCTCCCAAAATGCTGGGATTATAGGCATGAGCCACCACACCCGGCAGTGATCCTTTCTTAAATGACATCTTTCTTATTTAGCAAGTGTCATGAAAATTTTTTCTTAACAAGGCAAATAGCTTCATTTATTAGGACACCTAGTGTGAGAACACTTGTGGTACAGTGGCAGGGAGGACAGGGCAGACACAGGCTGGGGGCTCATTGTGAAGTCTCCTGTACACCTGTTGAGTTAGAACTTGGTCCTGAATAGGGGAGCAAACACAAATGCCTACCTGATAATAAAAGGGAGTGAAGAGGCCTGGGTGATAGCAGTGTTATCTGGAGGACACCACCATGGCTAAGGACAGTCCTACTCAGTTTCTACCACTCAGTGTTGCCATCTAACAAACTTCCATGAAAAGTCGAAATCCTGGGTTTTATAAGAAATCTTTCAATATTATAAATGTTCTGGCTAGGTGTGGTGCCTCACGCCTGTAATCCCAGAATTTTGGGAAGCTGGGAGAATTGCTTGAGCCCAGAGGTTCAAGACCAGCCTAGGCAACATAGTGAAACCTCATCTCTACAAAAATAAAAAATTAAATTAAATTAAAAACTACCTGATCATGCCACTGTACTCCAGCCTGGGTGACAGAGCAAGATCCTATCTCAAAAAAAAAATTTTTTTTAATGTTATTACTAATTTAAATGGTTTTAAACCTTGTAGAGCTGCAGGTCAAAAAAAAAAACCACTTGTGTACCTTCTTGGCCCCTGGATCTTAGATGGGCAAAGTTTAGTCATCAGGCTTGGAAGCAAATAAATAACATTTCCATCCAGAAAAACCATTCTGGCTACAATGGGCTCAGGTGATCCTTCCACCTCTGCCTTCCAAGTAGCTGGAACTACAGGCGTGCACCACCACGCTCGGCGAATTTTGTGTGTGTGTTATTTATTGTAAGAGATGAGGTCTCGCCAAGTTGCCCAGGTTTGGTCTCGAACCCCTGGGTCTTTTTTTTTTTTTTTTTTTTTAGTAGGAGTCTTACTCTGTCACCCAGGCTGGGGTGTAGTGGCATGTTCCCAGCCACTGCAGCCTTGACCTGATGGGATCAGGTGATCCACCTCAGCCTTCCAAGTAGCTAGAATCCAGGTGGGCGCCGCCATGCCTGGCTAATTTTTTTTTTTTTTAATTTATTGTAGAGAGACGGTCTCGCCAAGTTGCCCAGGCTGGTCTTCAACCCCTGGGCTCAGGCAATCCTCTTGTCTTCCTCCCAAAGTGCTATAATTACAGGCGTGAGCCACCGTGCCTGGCGATCAGGCTTAATCTTACTGGGACCTTCACTGGTCCTGGGTTCCAGTCTTTGCTGGTTCGGAAACTTGATTTCCCCAGGAGGAATCAGCCTTTAGGAAATTATGTCAATCAAGCCAAATTCACAAGGACTGTTTATAAATTAGAATATTCATTTTTTACACATTTATTAAACACCTACTGAGGGTGTAGCACTGTCCTGAACTCTGGGGAAAGTCCTAAAAGGGCACAGATAACATGGTCCCTGCCCTTTAAAAGCTTGTGGGACAAATATATAAATAAATATGTTATATATAGTATGCTTAGTGTACAGTGACCTTAAATCCTCATCTTCCTGAGACATTCATGGTTTATGTTTGTTGTCCTGGTCTAACTATTAAGAATGCTCCCTTTGACTTTCAAAACTATCTAAGTCCACAGGAACAGTCTATGAATGTTTGGAATATAGAAGTGATAGAAAGGAGGGACAATCGGCCAACCTTCCCAGAATAGACACTTGAGCTGGGTGATGAAGGACCTTTGGATAGCCAGGGACTGGGAGCTTGGTGGGGGTTGGGGAGATGTGGTTCCGGGAATATGCAAAGCTCTTGGGGAGATTGTTCCTGAAGGGAGATTGTTCCTGAAACAGCAATTGGTTGGTTCAAGCTAGGCGTTGTTTCCCAAATTTTCCCTGTGATAACAATCCCCTAGGACGATTAGTAAACATATGGATTTACAAATCCTGCTGGTAGTTTGGATTTATGGGCTTTTTTGTTTTTTTGAGTCACAGTCTCACTCTGTTACCCAGGCTGGAGTGCAATGGCTGGCTCTCAGTCACTACAACCTTGACCTCCTGGGCTCAGGTGATCCTTCCATCTCAGCCTCGCGAGTAGCTGGGACTACAGGTGCATACCACCATGCCCGGCTAACTTTATTTATTGTAGGGACGAGGTCTCACCAAGTTGCCCAGGCTGGTCTCGAACCTCTGGGCTCAGGCAATCCTCACGCCTTGGCCTCCCAAATTGTTGGGAATACAGGCGTGAGCCACCATGCCTGGCTGTGTTTTTTTAAGATGCACTCCCAGGTAATTCTTGGGCATATGAAAGCTGTACAACCAATTCTCTACTGATTGTGGATAGGAATATAAGGGATAAGAATAGAGGAGAACAGGAACAGCAAGATTAGAGCACAAGTCACAGATCAATCAGGCAGGGGTGGCCTCAGGTGAGAAAGTCCTTAGAGTTAAAACCTGGTGGGAGTTATTTACAGTAGATCTATGAAAGATGGGGAGTGCGTGAACTATGTCAGTCACAACAGGGATGCAGTGTCATGAAAAGCTTAGGGAACTATTCAATAGAAAGAATGAACAGGACCAGGAGTATGCCACTGACTTATTGGGGGAATATGATTTCCTTGAGTCAAATCTAGGAACCTGAGGGACCCTAGAATCTGGAGGTTTACTCCTGAACATAAACCTAAAATTACAAGAGTTGTATATATGTATTTTTTTTTTTTTTTTTTGAGTCAGAGTCTCACTCTGTCACCCAGACTGGAGGGCAGTGGCATGTCACAGCCACCACAGCCTCGGCCTGCTGGGCTAAGGTAATCCTTCTGCCTCAGCCTTTCAAGTAGCTGGAACCACAGGCATGTGCCACCATGTCCGGATGATTTTTCTATTTAGTGTAGAGACGAGGTCTCGCTATGTTGCTCAGGCTGGTCTCAAACCCATAGACTCAGGCAATTCTCTCACCTTTGCCTCCCAAAGTGCAGAGATTACAGGCATGAGCCACCAAACCCGGCCAAGGGTTGTATATTTCATGTGGGTCTCCTGCCTGGTTCACTTCTGTGTAGTCCCTAGAAGGTTCATGACGGTTGTATTTGTCTCTAGGAAGAAGGTGGAATGAATTCTAAAACACCCCGACACCTTAACTCTTTCTTCCTTTCTAGACTTAAGGCAAACTCTTGCCCTTCCGTCATGGTCGGACAACCCTGCCAAGTCTTATCTTGTGTTGTTTTTGCTTCTGTTTTTGTTATTGAATGTGTAAGACAGTCTTGCTGCATCAGCAATATATGCCAAGCCTTATTTTGTATTGTTTCTGCTTCTGTTTGTGTTATCAAATGTGTAAGGCAGTCTTGATTCATCAGCAATATATATGCCCATCCCTTTCAGGAGAGATGGCAGTCTCTTGCAAGTTTCAGGGTGCAAGTTTTGGAGCTGCTCTCTGTGGGAACCTGCAGGCTCCTCACAGATTCACCGCAACTTTGGGAAATCACGGTAGTACAAGTAACACCAAGCCAAGCAGGTCATTAAGCCTGTTGCCGGCCAGCCCATCCATTCGGAAGAGGGTGCATGGGTGGTTTTGAGAGAAACAATCCCTAAATAAAATCCCTCCATGAAAAATGAAGGAAATACTGCTATTTTCCTTTGCCTTCAAACATAAAAATGTCCCCAGTCTTGGCTGACGGCCGAAGGAGCAAACGACGTCAGAAATCAGACTCACAAGTTATGAAAAGCAAGCCTCAAAAAGGAGACCGGGAAACCGATCAGGCTGTTTCACAGGGTAATAATCCTGCACCCTTCACCCAGGACCTGCCACTGCAGAGCGCCCACGGGTGCGGTTTGGGGAGGCGAGGCATCCTAAATTCCAGTCCTTGGCCTCTTTGACGTTGCTGAGTGACAGGGATGAAGATGACCAGGTTGAAATCCTCCGCCCCGCCGTACCGGAGAGGGAAGACACCATGCCGCAGCAGCTTCCAAGTGTTTTTTATAAGGGGCTTAACTTCTGCGCGGTCCAATATCACCAACGCCATTAGGACACAGTGGCAAGATGAAAATATACTAAAAAAAAAAAAAAAAAAGAAGGAGAAACATTGCAGCGTGTCTTGACTCAGAAAATGGACCTCCGCTCCTGACGCAGCAGCGCTGTCGGGGGCGTCGCGTTCCCGGGCCCGCGGCTGGTGGCAAGGCCGGGAAGCCCCTTCCCGCATCCAGGCGCGACCATCGTGGCGCCGCGGTCGGGGGGTGGTGTTCGGCGCAACCGTCGCAGACTTCAAAGGCCGGCGCCGCCGTCGTCCCAGATCCCCCCCACCCGTGTGTGCGAGTGGTACGGTCCTAGGGGGCGGTTCCTGGGGCGCGGCTCCCGCGGCCCCTGAGGCGTATCCCGCCGGCCGGGAGGCGGGAGGCGGGAGTCGGACCCCAGAACCGGAGCCGCGGAGGCAGAGTCGCCGGGTGCCGCGGCCGGGGCCCTGAGGAAGCCCCAGGAGAGGCGGTTTACCGGCGAAAGGAGCTAGGCGCGGGGCCGCCGCGGCCGCCTCGTTGGGGAAGGAGGACGAGGAGGAAGCGGCGCTGCCGCCCGCGGGAGGAAGCGCTCCGCTCGGCCCCCGACGGCGCTCGTTTAACCACATCCGCGCCTCCGCGGGATACGCTCGTTGGCGCCTGTCAGCGGGTCCCTCCATTTTGAAAGGGAAAAAGGGCTCTCCCCTCCCTGACCCTAGGAGCCGGAGCCCGAGGAGCCGCGCTCATGGCGTTCAGCCCGTGGCAGATCCTGTCCCCCGTGCAGTGGGCCAAGTGGACGTGGTCTGCGGTGCGCGGCGGGGGCGCCGGGGAGGACGGGGCCGGCGGGCCCGAGGGCGACCCCGAGGAGGAGGACTCGCAAGCCGAGACCAAGTCCTTGAGTTTCAGGCAAGTACACAGCATCCCTGCGAGATGCAGACGTGCTTGCCACATCCATCCGCGGCTCGCTCTGTGTGCGTGTATGTGCTCGCCACCCGCCTAACCGTGTCCGTGGCCCCGCTCCGTCCCCGCCTGGCCCCGGGTCCCCGCTGTGCGTTCGCAAGTTCAGGGTGGTCAGTCCTTCGTGTGTGTTCTGTTCCCGGTTTCGCTGGGAGCTTTCGGAACCCAACCCGGGATCCGCAGTCTCTCCGCATCCCGGTTTGCCTCGTTCACTTTCTCTAAGCTTCGATCCCCCA